GTCAGCTTCATGGGGAGGTTTTCAGCCACCTTGTACCCAGGCTGACTTTCAGGCTCGTCTGAACCGACATACAAGTACGCCTTGAGTCCGTCCACAAGGATAACCTTGGGTTTGCCTCCATTCTTTGGCTAAATGCGCACCATCACATCCAACAGCTTTTTCATGATCAACCAAGGTCCTTCCCACCGAAGTTGGAATTTGGGGGAGAGATGTTTCCTCTTGGCTGGGTTGTGGCATTCTCTTAAACCGATGTTCAAATACCTTACTGAACATGGGCAGCTTTGCAGAGGCATTCTTCGGCTCTTTTATGAGCACCATGCATGTTATTATGCAAAGTCCAGGGTTGTATCCTCAATTTCGAGACACCCTGTCAACAAGTCTACCAGAATATTCACTTCCCTTCCCAACATATCATGTTCGGGGGGTTCTCCAGTTGAGTCGTGTGTTGCGCACCTTTTAAGTTGCATAGGGGAGGAACTCATCTCAATCCTTCTACCTACACTTTGGATATTAAGTAGCATTGCCACATTTTTCACTCAGATTCTGTTGAACCTGTCTTTGTCATGCCCAGAATTTGGCACATTTCCTTGAACACATCTGCCTCAAAGTTGGAGCCCAGATCAGAATGGAGCTCTTGGGGCACCCCAAACCGACAAACTCATTAACCAGTGTATGGGCGACTGTGATGGCAGTGGCATCAGGAAGTACAAATGCTTCCATTCACTTAAAACAATAATGGCCAACTACCAACACCCATCAGTTACCATTGTCCGTTGTGGGCAATGGCCCAGCAAGCCCTCCTTGCACAGACATCACAGTCTTGAAGGAATGACGTCCATAGACATGCCTGGCCAAAAATACCTAGCTTTCACTTTGGNGGTGTTGCTTCATGTCCGAATGACTGTTTCCTCTAGGTACTGGCTTGGTCCTTACTTTTTTTCCAAGCACTGCTGTTTCTCCCAGAAAAAGACCTGTTGGGTTTTCCTTGTCACTGGAACAATTCCTCCATGCACTGCACTGCTGGGGTGGCTTCTGGCAAAGTAGTGGCTGAGAGTTTTTGAAAGACCTTTGGCCAGTGTGTGGCAGGGATCTCCCCAGGCGGAACCTAAGTTTGTTGGGACCAGTCTAAAACCTATGAGAGTACAGCTGCTGTTCTCAAACCCAAATTTTACCCAGACGAGAGACCACTCAGAGTGATCTCAAGACAAGGGAGCAGGTCCGTTTTGGAGGAAATGTACCACCGATTATGATGATTGTGATTACCCTCTGTGAACAACACAATTAAATTTGCAAGAAATACACTTTGACTTCAGGATTGTCAGTGCAACAAATATGATGATAATTTATTCAACAATAATCAAGAAATATGTATACAGTGATGATTGTGATTCGATTTGGTATACTTTCGTAACAGGGTCCTTCAGTTACAAAGGGAGACAACCTACTGCTCACATCAGCAGTAATACGCAAAGCATAAATAATGTACCACAATGTAAGCAGTGTGCTTTTCTTCCAAGTCAGCAATGTGCTACCAAATCAGCAACACACAACAGCATACCACAGTGTGAACCATGTGCTCCCACATCAGCAATGCTCACTGCAACAAGCACTGCACATTACCCAATTAAACTCCAACCATGCAACCTAGCATCAGCATCATACAACTCTCTACAGCCAGCACATCAGCATTGCACAGCACAACTTAAGTACAGCCATGGTTCATACACTCAGCCCCAGTAAGCACTACACATATCAGACGTACATGTAGCACAGACAGCATATATACAGGTACCTTTCTCGAGGCTGTCCAGAGCTTGACTCCTGAGCATCACGTGACTGTACCTTCCAGGCAGACACGCACATTGTACACACTTGCATGTACATGTAATAAACCTGTGGGCCTAGTTAATGTGAACATGCACTTGCTACCTACATTACAGTTCATTCATACATTAAAAAACTGGCTCAATGTCTCTACACTTTCTGTTACACAGGCCCGGGCGTAGTGGGGTGTCCCGATACACCACAAGCTATAACAGCAAAATACGAAGAGTGTAGGCCTACCTTAAACTTTTAACGTCATCCAAAGCTCATTAAATATTCACAGGATCTTATACACGGTATTAGCGAAAGAAGAACACCAAGTTTTGCCTCATTAAATATGCACCATATTTTGTACACAGTAAAAGGGCCACAAAAACACCAAATTTGCACCTAATTAAATATTCACAAGATATTTTACAAAGAATATCTGTATTCAATTCAAATGAATAAATTTGTGGACTCCATACATTAATATCTAATTGTCTGATTTGTCAGTGGGCACGATTTTACTAGGTTAAAAAGGATGGACTATGGAGAAATACAAGATTTTATATAGTTTAAATGGTACATATTGCAATTTTTTCACAAGGTTATTCGTCAAGTTCCATAAATTTTCTCTATCAGAGCCTGACTCAATATACTTAATCTATGAGCTAATTCAGGTGTCCAAATTTTACTGTACCAACATTTTACTATATAAATATATAAAAATTTATCTAATCAAGAAAAATAAATAAAAAGAAACCACCTAATTTCACAGTTTTTGTCGCTCACTCGGTCGCCACGGGATGGCCATTCTCATCCATGACAACTTGTCTTGGGAGTACTCGGCTGTGTTCCTCACTTGTGACAATTTCTCCATCCAGCGACGTCCGTGTTGAGGTTTTGCCCTGTACCGTTGCCATTCTCATCTTCCTTGGTGGGGATGTTTCGGACTGAGACACTTCCGGTGGTTGCTGGGGTTTTCCCTCCTCTTCCGCAAGAAAGGAGGATGCAGTGGATAGATCAAAAGGATGCTTTGGCCTCATCCCTGATCATGTGCAGCATCCCACTAGGCTCTCCTCCAGATGAGCGGATGTAGGGACAGGGGTGTTGGGTGAAGGGACAAGATCAGTTCTCCTCTACAACTGCTAGTTCACAAAATAAT